GCAGTAGCGGAGTTATTTTTTCCATAGCTGCCTGCAGTTTTCGGCGTGTGGCGCTCGATACAATGCGCGGCGTTCCCTGCTCGAGAGCGCGTTCCACACAGTTTTGCATGTAGTCCCCCCGAAAGAGTGTTAAACCCCGGTAATGCAGCGAGTATGTCAATAGTCATGCATACTATTGGCAGTACGAGGCGAAAATATTTTGTTGCAGGTAACCAGTCTAAAAATATAAGCTTTGACCAGGGATTTCCATAATAGTCTCTGGAGGCAAATTTTGAAAAATATATAAACGCTGGGCTGCGCCGTGATATTTGGTTACTTGAGCTAGATACACATCGCTTGTATATTTCATCATCGAAACATATACAGCCTCGCCCAACCCTTTAGATACAAAGACTTGCTGCCACAATCCACACGGTATCGTAGCAGGCCCTCTGTTTTTCTTCTATAGACTCTCCTACTTTTATCACAGGCCGCCGCCTCTTTTTCCTTCCCTCTACATTTAAAGAGAATCCTCAGATATCCCACGCTAATGTCGAATCCAAGCTCCGAGGCAATTGCCTCCAGTGTCGAGCATAATCCTATCCTCTCTACCGTAGGAGACTCCTCTTCGTCCAAGTCCGTCGACTCGCCTAATACTCCCGTCGACTCGCCTGATGCCCCCGTCGACTCACCTGATGCTCACGCCGGTAAGTACTACGAAGCCGATGCCGGTGACGGAACAACAGCTCAGGAACAATACCTCACTGGTGTTCCACTCTACCTCTCTGTGCTCGCATGTGTTCTCTGTCTCTTCCTCACGGCCCTTGATTCCACCATCGTTGCAACCATTCTTACCGTTGTGGGGAACGAGTTCCATTCGTTCAACCAGATCGGCTGGCTTACTGCCGGTTTCCTCCTTCCAATGGCCGTGTTGGCGGCCACCTGGGGTAAACTTTCCATCGTTTTTGGCCGTAAATGGACCATGGTGGTGTGTGTCGTAGTTTTCGAAATTGGTTCTCTCATCTCCGCGTTGGCAAATTCTATGGATATGTTAATCGGTGGTCGTGTGATCAGTGGTATCGGCGGTGGTGGTATTCAAACTCTCGTGTTCGTGATTATTTCCGAATCTGTACCAATTAACAAACGTCCTAGCGCCCTTGCGTCTGTCGGCTGTACCTTTGCGGTTGCCTCCGTACTCGGACCGTTACTTGGTGGTATCTTCACCTCGCACGTCACCTGGAGGTGGTGCTTCTGGGTCAAC